CCAGCATAAGCAACATTGTAAATAGATATGGCATATTGCAAATTTTATAATTTATATCTAAATGTAAAAGTATTAAAGAAAAATAAAGTACATAAAAGAAACAATTACAAGGGCACTGACTGCAACTACATGATTTTATCTAGGTAGTTATCTTTTAGTTTTTTCTCTTTAGTTTGTCTCAAAACTTCAATCACTTGAGCTCTACCGACTATTCAAAGAATTTGAAAATTTCCAGATCATTTTAGCCACTTTTAAAGAAATTCTGAATTTCCCTGACGTTTCAACCCTGATTCTACCAGCGTTCATGTCTTGATAGCTCATTTGCAGGTAGGGAACAACAAACAGTCTCACAGAGCCTCACAGCCAAATAGTGTTTCTGTGCATATTTCAAATTAATTTGACATGTTCATCAGTTGTTCACTTTAACCAAGAGGTTCCAATTTCTTATGATGCACAGTATCTGGAAAACTGGCCATTGGAGAGATCCCTAGTCCTCTTCATCCCCACTGGCTGCATCTGCAGAAAAACATACATAGAAGTCATTAGCATTCTTTTTAAACTGTTTTTATTGAAACAAAACAAGTCTGGTTAAAAACATTTTCTGTTCTGTACACAGATGATTGTTACTTTGGTACAGGGTTACTTTGACAATGATAATCATGATTTGGTGAAATGAACCAAAAAGATTAAAAAATATCCATTTTTTTCTTTGACCATTCTTAGAGAGAATCTAGTTGCCACACACCATCTGGTTTGAAGACATTCTCTGTCTGCCCACTGGATGACTTCACTCCACAGCCATTACCATTTACCAGAGCAACTATGATCTTCTTGTAATCACCTGATAGGTCATCCTGAAAAATATCAAAGTATGATCATTTTAATTGTCTACTATTGCATCGGTTATATTTCTTTTACATCAAATACGTCATACTTCAAGATTTTAATTAGAATATTTAAATTACTTTTAATATTGCTGATATTTCCTGGCTCACCTTTACTCGATTGCTTATATGATTGCTCTCAATTATTATATTTATCTGGTGACATTGAAAAAAATCCAGGTCCTATATCAGAATTACCCATATTATTTTCTAATATTAATAGTCTCAAAGCAAATAGTTTAGCACGTTTTGAAGCACTAAAGTTCAAAGTAAAAGAGCAACAAATTAAAGTTATTGCTCTATGTGAGGTGGGAAATTTGACAAATAGTGACATACAAAAAGATCTTAAAATTGACAATTTTGAACTTAAACATTACAGATCAAATAATCGAGGTCTTATACTATATGTTCATAATTCATTAGAAGCTGAAATAATTCATGAACTAATGAATGATACACTAGGAAATATTTGGTTAAATCTTAAAGTAAGTGGTAAACTATTCAATTATGGAGTATTTTATAGATCACCTTCACAAGATAAAATAAGTAGACTAGACTATTTCAAATTACTTGGTAAAAACCTTGAGGATGCTCAGAAACTTCCTGGATCAACTGTAGTAAATGGAGATTTTAATGCACGTAATTCTTTTTGGTGGAAAGATGATAAAGTTGATGAAGCAGGGACTAACTTGCACAACATCTTATTTGATCTTAATTTTATACAACTTATAGATGAACCAACAAGAGTGCAGTCTCGTAACAACTTTATTACTAAATCATGTATAGACTTGTCTTTTACAGATAATATTAATATAATATCTAATCATAAAGTTCTACCACCAGTAGGAAATACTGATCATTGCACTTTGTTAACATACCTAAAAATGAACATTATTAAAGAAACTCCAACCAAGAAAATCATTTGGCAATATGATAAACTTAATAAAACAATATTGAATCAAAGAATACTTAATTCAAACTGGGGAGAGATCTTAGAACTTCAAAATGTTCATATTTCCACTCATAGGTTTGTTGATACTTTGTTCAACATTTTTAAGGAAACAATTCCGCATAAAGAGGTTTTAATAAAAGAAAACGATCAGCCTTGGTTCAATTCTGGGCTAATACAATGAAGAAAATCGCATTTTTGTAGCTGCAAGTTGAGAAAACCTATTTCAGTTGTCCTTTAAACAATTAAGACAAAATAGATGATATATATCTTTTATTGACTCTTTAGATGTCATATCATGACATATTAGTCACTAAGGTAGAGCAGTTCTTCCCATTGTCGAGGTGAAGAACTGGTATCTTTATCCTTGCTAGAACCATAGACAATTCTGGCCAGCGCCAGCCTTTTATCGAGTTAGCAGCACTCTAGTAATCGCCGGTATAGGTCAGCAGTCATAGGTCAAAGACAAATCACAAGAAGTGCTGTGATAATAATACTTAAAAGTACCTTAAGTCTAATTAAATAAATTAGGAATGAAAATATTTGCTATGATTTCCAATGAAAAATTATATGTAAAATATTTGGACATGGATGTTGCTATTGGACTGATGAAATTCTGACTATTTTCATTCTGAAGGAGGTGCGAGTTCTGGAGGCCTGTGTTCGATGGATGCAAAAGCGTAGTTCATGGAAATCCAAATTATTTTGATTTTCACAGACATGGCAGTTTTGTCACTTTTCAAATCAGATTTATTACTCATATTCATTCAAACAAATAATACATGGAACAATCATTTTGTACATAGTTTGACACTGTTTGTGAGAAAAAACAATGCATCTGACGTCAGGATTCACTGTTGAATCGCGAATGAGAATACAAATTCGCGAATCTCAGACTCTTTGAATAATTTGCAAAATCTGAACTTCTAATCGAGACAAATTCTATAACACCTTGGCGATACGATTCAATGACTATGTGAGTACTTATCTACACCACTTATTCTTTTCCTTTTCCCATTTTAACACTTGTTGCATACATATTTCATGAAAATAGGTTATCCTTTATATACTGTAAAACGGGTATTGTTAGCGAGGGGTAATTGTTAGCGATTGTTAGCGATCGCTATAGTTTCGCTAAAAATTCAATTCGCTAAAATAAACCGGGGTTAAAATAAACCAGGCGCTAAAATTTGCAAATTCCCGGGAAACAACAAGAATACTAGTATTTAAGGAGCGTTTCGTTCAGTGCTCGACCGAAAAATCAACGATTTTAAATGCTACCATGATTTTGTGATTAGTCAGATGAGATTACAGTAGTTTGGACCAATACAATGTGCGTTAGAAGTCTTACATTTTGATAATTCCTCTGTCATGTCTGTTATTGATTCTTCTGCCATAAATGATACAATTTCTAATGCATTTCGCTAATTTGATTTTTTAAAGATTAATCTTCATTTCGCTAAAATTTCCCGCGCTAAAACCCCCTAAAATTGAAAAATCGCTAAAATTTCCCGGTGTCAAAATTACCCGTTTTACAGTATTTGATTTTCAAAATACAAGCAGGACTTTGAAAAATAATCCCAGTAATATCATCTGCCAGTCAGGATATATGTGATAATGTTATTTGCATGTTTTATTGAAATAAAACAATCTCAGATTCCTTTACCTGGGGAGTACATAAAGTACCTAATTAGAGTGTCTTTAATAAATTCTTGAATTATTGAAGTCAGTCATCATAGCCTGAGTTCAACTTCATTGACATTTGCTCAGAAATTATTCAGCATGTACATACACCATCTATTCAATAATTTTTTTCTTAGAAAAGTAAAGTTTAAGAAAGTAAAATCCGTAATCAACATTATTTTTGCTCTTTTAGAAAGATGATGAGAAAATAGATTAAAAATGTTCACTTTCTACTTTACTTAAAAACGAAAGGCAAATTAGACTAAATGGGCCTATTTTATGTTATTTTAAATAGAACACGAGAGATATGTGCTAGGTATTTTGTTATCAAAACAAGTTTGATTGTATTTAATTTAATTGATCATATCAAGTCTTTAGTTGATTAATGCATTCAGGGAAGAATGCTTGACAGACGCAGATACCAGATTCAAACCTTTGATGCACATCCAGGACGATTTATCAATGAGAACATATGGCTTTGACAACAGCAAAAATTTTGTTTCATCTATATGTTTTTAATTTTTTATGCAGGCAGATCTGGGCAGAAAATGATTCAATAAGGGACATTGAGTAAACATACTTGTTATACATTTTTGGAATCCTTATGAAGAAATACGTCTGAATTTTTCCTATAAGGTTGCTATGGTAATGGCATCAGTGTCCTAAACCACGCCTAAAGAGTAAATTATGAAATCTGACATCTCTTGTTTCTACGTTTCCCCAATTTTGATGAGATTTGCACCAAATGAAAGGTATTGAAAAGTTCAAACGAGAAATGTACTAAATGAGCAAATTTGCAATTAGAAAGTATATATGTCCTGCTGTTATTTCCCTTTAAGCCTACTAAATAAGAGATAAATAAGAATTTATCCTCTGGACACATAGTATTAAAGGAGGGTATGTGATATCCGCCAAGGGAATGTAGATGAAAATATTGAGATGATATAACCAATGTATTTTCTGATATCAACCTGAGTATTCAAAGTGTGAACTTTTATATTCATGTAACTTTATTTATTAATATTGTCGTGATTATGGGATAAATGATGTTACATACCAATGCTCTAAGGTGTATTATCTCATGCCTCATTCTCTGTAAGCAAGATGCCTGGGCCTGGTAAGCTTCTAGGTTCTTGTTCCTCCTGCAAGTCAATCAAAAATATTCATAGCTTTCTTTTCTTGAAAGTGACCAATGAAATAAATATTGAAGGAATGCAGACCCAAGAAAATGGTATTTGGACATTATCAATATATGTAAACATTTAAATGAGTGGAGTAAACGTAAAAGCGGGCGTAAAAGACTAAGATTCCAAGTAAAAGTATCAACATTTAAAGACCTCATAAAGTGTGAAGTCTTTTAGCAATATTCCCATCAGCTCATTATGTGTTCAGGTTTTACTGTAAAAGAAAATTTCTTTTTAATATAACCTAAACTACTCACCATGATGCAAGTTCTTTCTCCATTGCTACAATATCAAGAGCAGGGTCCGACTTGCCCAAAATACTCTGACCTGGAAATGGAACAGGTGAGAGCATAAAAAATATAAAACTGATCTTATATAACCAAGTTAGTTGATATTTATTTATGTTGTAATCACAACTTACTACAAACCATCATTGTGTCCAATATTTTACCAACATCTCAAAAGTGCAACTTTTGCCCCTGAATGTATGGCTAAAAATTACAGCTTTCTCCAAGATTAGATATATAAGTCCTACAGGTATAAGAGATATATTAAAGGAGCACAAAAGACTAGAGATAAGTTGTAAGTAACTTTTAAAACATTTTAAAATGGTCTCAACATAAGATTCCATGTCAAGGTTATTTCCTACAAAGTCCAATACTGTAATTCTGACTTTATTTTAGGGTAATGCTTCAGGCGAAAAACTGAAAAAGGACATATTTGGACATGTCTGCATCGTAAATCTTCAATAACTTCCATATTTTCTCAGAAATTTCAGTGCATCATTTAGATACTGAAATAACAATCATGAGGGTGACTTCGACATTGCTTTTTGAAAACATTGCTCCCAACATTTTACACTCTCTAGTCTTTACTGCCACTTTAAGTAATCAAAATGTGATTATGCTACATACCTGTGAAAGGAGGCATGTAACACATCAAAGTGCAGTTTGTGTATTGATCTGCTAACTCACTGGAAATACAACATATAGAATATATCTAATAAAATACCCACTTCCCTTTTATAAACTGTTATACATATAACTTATAAATATAGCACAACACTTTCCTTATATGTAAACTGTCATAACCTGTAAATATGTATGTATAAAGTTGCCATCTCTATGAACAAATTAATATCAGTTATCTATAAGTTTAAAAACATTCCTTTTTATATAATTCATGAATTATTCGAAATCAGATAAGATGATTTAACAATTTACAGCCAATAACCAGTTCAATTCTGTTGAAAACATTGTTTTAACTTTTAGCTTATCAATGATAAGTTTTGGTTTTAAGTGAAAAGGAGGTGTCAAAATGGTTTGAACTGACATGATCCCTACACAAACCTCCATTTACTATTAAGAACTACATCATCTGTAAAACCATAACGCTCAAAGAAATCAATGGCGGAGTTATCAGCGTGCACCACAATGACATCATACTGCCCAACGACTTGAGGATTCTTTAATTGCTGAAAATGATTGATTCAGTGAATAAATGTAGAACTGAGAATGAACAGACATGTATGCTATATTTCAAACATGAAGAAAATGTGATTAAAGCGTGAACATAATTTTCTATTGAAGAGAACACACGGGTACACACAGGCTTCATTATTCTCTGAATTTGCTCAGCAGTTTCCTAGCTGAGGCAAGTGATTGTATAAGTGAACTTCGCAGTATCATCAGCTTAACCAGGAGATTAAAACACTTATTGCATATTGAGTTTTGTTTAGTACCTGTGATATATTAAAGTATTCATACTTACTGATAATAAATATCTGCCTATTCCCCATTTTTGGTAGCGTTTCCTCACAGCTATTACAGTTAAATGATTGACTTTTTCACTACGTTTCCTGGAAAAAAAGAAAATATGCAGGTACATGATTATGATATATGGCACTTGATAATGTCACAAATATTTTGTTTAAATATAACATACAAATGTAGAATACCTTCTTGTATCACATTTGACAAGCATTTTCCAAAATGTGATACGATCATTATGTGAACATTATAAAAATATTAAAATTTTCTATTTCCCTGAACTGCAAGTCTGTCCTATCAACCTATCCTGAATTATGAACACCACATAAATGAACACCTATAGAGACCAGGTCAATATTTGATGTTAGCCGAAAATCGAAAAAAACACTTCAGACCCAAAAATAAACTTGAGCATTTATTGATTTTGTCAAGTGTTTTAAGAATGAAAACTAATGACTTTGAGGTTATATTGACTTATACTATTATGATTTGTCCTCTTAGACAGACCAAATAGTGTTCATATTACAGTTCAACTGGTCTATCAATCTTACCCACAAAATGCCTTTTCAAAGGTAGCAGCAGCCACAACCCTATTTTCTATCCCTACATGTTTGCTAGTGAAAGGGCCAACATGGTTGTCTCTTATTTGACGACGTTCGCGCACACATTCTAGAAATGTATTGATGCCCTTACTGAAATCTTCTTCATCATCTTCACTGAAAAAAATCATTCATAAAAAGAGAATTCAACCTTTGTGTACTTCACATAAATCCCAGAAAAGGACAAAGTGTAAACATTTCAAAATTAATTTTTTCTATATTCACAATATTTTATGTCATATTCACATTTTCTGAATTCTTTCAATGAATCCCAAATATGGCACATAGCTTATCATTTATAAATTACTAAATAAATAATTTTGTAGGGTTGGAAATTAAAATCATTTCCTGTTTTGTTATCTAAGTGTTCCCCATCTCACCTGTCATCATCTTCATCCTCATCTTCAGTATCACTATAACAATTAGCAAACTTGCACGGTTTAGTTTCTTCAGGCTCAAGAATATCAGATCCTTTATCATTGACAGCATCTTCTATATCCTGCATTATCTCAGCAGCTATATCTTCATATGTAATCAGATCATTATCAGAAGAGGTATTTTCATTTTGCTTTACTTGAGCATTGAGATCTTTGGTGATTTGACTAGTAGGTGTTTCCTCTGTGGAGGATGCAGTTTGAGGGGTTGGGGTGGTCACTGGGGATTGGGATTGATTATTGTCTTCAAGGTCAATCACTTTAATGTCTTCATTGCTTTGTAGTGGTGTTGTTTCATTTGGAATGCTTTTTGGTGATGGTGCTTCAGTGTTTTTTGCTTTTTTAGCTCGTTTTCTTTCAAACTCCTCCAAAACATCTAGAAAATATAAAATGTTAAGTGTGTAGGGCATTTCAAAAGAGTTTCGAATTATGGGTGTGTGTACAAAAAATTCAATATTGATGTTTAAATGATTTTCCATTGGATCAGGTGGTTGAGTTCAGATTCAAAAAATGGGACAAGGAGCTCATGAATGGTCCATGGAGAGTCCAAAAGCTTTTTCTCAAGGAATATATAGGTTTTAGTAATACATTGTGTGTATTAGTTCGTAACTATAAAATGCTCATTATCTTTAATACAGATATTCCCTTGACATTCTTCACATCATCCTTAATAGATTGCAAAGGTGGTGCAGGCAATTATAAGGGAGTAGGAGCTAATAATAGGAATATTTACAAGTTCATATCACAGTAACTATAATGAAGTGAAAATGTTATCTTTGTAAATCACTGTACCTTTAGTATCACGTAGTAGGATAGCTGTTCTTGCCCATTTCTCGCAGACAGTTCCATATAAGACCTCAGGTGTCATCTCACTCAACGAAACATCATACAGGCCTATCACAGCATGCAACAGCTCTCTGTTAGATACCTAAATGTAAAACATTTATACCTTTATCATTTTCATACATGCAAAGGTAAATGGGAGTTTTACACCAGTTTCGCAAAGTTTATTCAGTCATTGTATATTGTGTAAGATTGGTAAAATGTAAAACCTGCATAGTAGTAGAATAGTAGTAGGGAATGGGACTGGACAATCACACATAATACTGAGGGATTTTAAGCATTCAATTCTTAAGTAGGGCTCCCTGGCACCACATTCAAATGTTACAAGTTGTATATAACTATTAAAGTGATTTTCACTCCTTTTCAAAGCCTCAATACAGCATGTTGCAGTGCATTTATAATACTGTTTTTACTATTGTAGTGGATACCCATCTTTCATTCCATATAAAGAAAACAGAAATTGATAAAATATTGACGGAGTGTGAGCTGTTACAATGAACCCCACTTTAAACAAGAATGTTTCGTTCAGTGGGGGGCCCACCTTAATTCAATTACAATAACACTGACGTTTTTAGGCTTATTTCTTAAAAGCATGATGCGCTATTATTATCATATAGTTGTATTAATATGAGGAATTGATTGCAATATGATAGAATGTTTATTGCACTCTAGTTATCCAATAACAGTTAGGGGGTTTCTCGAAAGCTATCGTTCTTAGGGTAATGACATCACATTACATTGGATTTCCCAAAAAGCAGGCCACGAGTATGACAACATCAATATGCGTTAGGTAATATGCAGACAATCATTGTGATAGTTGTTTTGGGGAATTCCTTACAATGGCCCAATACTTTCACTTTCGTTATTAGAGCACTTTCACATTTGATTATCTAAGCGAAAGCGTAGTTATTGCATTTAATTGATGAAATTGAATTTAATTGATGGTATTCTTAAAAAAACTCATTTTTATCGTTTTTCAAGCTCTTGATAGTTTTATACATCCTTTAAGCTAATGTTAAAACAAGACTTGACTCTAAAGGTAGATATTCTAGCTGTAAGCTGCTGCCCCATCCACAGGAATTCGTCTAGAGTCCATTTCACTGCTTCATTGCGTCAGTAGAACGGCAAAAATAAGAAATTGGGAGACCATTGTGCAATAATATATGGAAAAGTATATTCATAATGTACATGAATGACATTTGTATATTTCAGATTTTTTAGTTTTTTTGTGCATTGAATAACCCTGTGCCGTCTTGTAATTTGAAGAATTTCATACAATTCCATACCCGTGCGGTGATAGGACCATTTCCCCTATATAAGTCTTATTGCAAAATGATATTTTGATTTCTTATTTTTTAGCTTTTACTGACGCAGTTAAACAATGAAATGGACTCTAGAAAGAAAATGAAGTCAATAGAGCAAGCATAAAAAAGTATAAATGAAATTATCCTCAAACAACGTGCATACCCCTTCAATGACTTCCGCCGATAATTTTGAGCCTAGCAATCTTCGGAAATCAACGAGCAGCGGCGAAATTCTAACACATTTTCCTTTCTTGTCTCGAAATTCCTGTTTCCCAGCAAATTGTGCACCCTTCACAAACTCTCCGTCTTCCTCGATATCTAATGCATCGTGGAGATTCATTTCGGCAACATTTCCTCCTGTAGTATTGAAGTAATTGTCGATATTAGTTTGAAAAACTGGAGAAACTGGTGCAGTTATGGACGCCATTTTTCAACAAACCTGTCCCGCGGTTAAAAAAAGGAAGAGCTCTTATTGGTCAATTTGTTTGTTTGTAAACAGAAGCACGTGTTTAATTTGACGGCAATGTTCTGATATAAATGGATCCACAGTGATTCTGAAGTCCTATCAACAGATAGATAATGCTGGATGTTTGTTAGTTTTGAAATGAGCATAGAGATAAGTTTTGTAATACTGATTTAGTTAATACAAGTTGAAGAATAGTGAGCTTTGGCATTCTCCAAGATGGTAACTCATTGTTTTATTTTTTCATTTATTTATTGCTCTCAGTGGCACATGGGTTGTGAGCCATGGTTGCGATAGCCAAGTGCACCATATCATATAAATATAACAAACTGAAATATACATTCAGATAATGACAATCAGGCCCGTAGCCAGGATTTGCCAAGGGGACGTTCACTTTTTGAAAAATTCCAGGGGGGGCTTCACTTGTGACAATTTTGATCAAAAAATGGCCAAAATCACTTAAAAAGTGCTCAGAATGAGCATGACTTTGAAAGATTTTTTGGCCAGGGAGGTGGGGGGGGGAATCCCCTGGCTACAGGCCTGACAATACATTGTAAGCATATGATCCATATATCTTGTCTATAAAAATAAAAATTGATCTTTCCCCAATTGATTACTGAAACTATCTCCCAAACCCATTTTGCTTTGCAGTCAGGGCTTAAAGCTGAGAATTCTGCTGCTTTAAATAACATATAGATGCAACTTTGTTGAAATAGGTCGTTCAATGGTTTGTCAATGGTTTATTGCTGAGACATAAATAGTGAATGTCAAGCTTTATCATTCAAGTCTTTGCCTTGAATATGTTTTCTTTTGAAATATTGTGTTACCATGGTGTAGTGGCTACCACTACATACCATGGTGTAGTGCCCATCACAATTCAATTCAATTCACAAGAAAACAAACAAATGTACTTTGTAACATCAATATATATTTTGAACTAATCTAAAATTCTACAAAATAACAAAAACAATTTACAGGTTGTTCAATAAGTAAAGCTAATTCTGCTCTAAAAATATTTTGCATTGAATATTTATAGCCAAGTTTTTATTGGTTATGATTTGC